TTGGCAACAGCTTCACAGATGGAGGGCAGCTGGATTTCAAAATGTACCTCTCGCCTCAGCGCTGCGCGCACTAGTTTACCCGTTTTCATAATGTGGTTCTCGCCTCAGCGCCGCGCACATTCGTTTTGCACAATTTGCAAAAACTTCACAGAATGAGGGCGACCCGTTTTCAACATGTGGCCCTCGCCTTAGCGCCTCGCGCATTCACGTAACAACAACTGCACGGGTTTCACGGATTGAAGGCGACCCGTTTTCCAAATGTGGCTCTCGCTTAAGCGCCGCGCGCATTCGTCCTAATTGCAAGAGCTTCGCGGATGATTGAGGGCGTTTTCTGTTGATTCCAAAAGGTGGTTATCGCCTCAGCGCCACGCGAATTCGTTTCTTTCTCTGTGCAAGAGTTGCACGGATTTGCATGATCACGCACCAGACATGGCGTTTTGGAAGGATTCATGACTAACCCGGAGAAGCAATTAAGGAACCCCCCGGCGTTATCATTAGCACCGCGCCATAATTAAATAATTATTTGGGGTGGTTTTCGCCGAGCGATATTATTAGCACCGCGCACATGGAAGACAAATAAATAATTCCAGCGCCCCGCCTCGGGTGGCATCCCAATTAGAATTGTAATGAAAATAAACATACGAATACGAATAAGGAAAAACTGAGAAAAGCTAAGGAAAAGCTTAGAAAAGCTAAGAAAAAGCTGAGAAAAGCCGAGGAAAGCTAAGGAAAGGCTAAAACAAGCTAAGAGAAAGCTAAGAAAAGCTCAGGAAAAGATCAAGAAAAGCTAAGAAAAGCGAAGAAAAGCTAAGGAAAAGCTGAGAAAAGCTAAGGACAACTAATGAAAAGCTAAGGAAAACTATTGAAAAGCTAGGGAAAAGCTAAGGAAAACTAAGGAAAACTTAAGAAAAGCTGAGGAAAACTAAGGAAAAGCTAAGGAAAAGCTAAGGGCAACTAAGGAAAAGCTAAGGAGAACTTGTGACCCTCGCAGTGACCCTCGCAGAGTACCCCCAAGGCCTGAGTATGGAGGAAGTCCAAGGCGGGAGCCTTGTCTGTGAGCGCGTCCTCCTCCGTGTCCTCCTCCTCCTCTTCCTCCTCCTCCTCCTCCTCCTTCTCTTCCTCCAGCCCCCATTTTTCTAATGAGATTTCTATTGCAACCCCTTTGGAAAAAAAAAAATTTTTCGGCCGTCGTAGGAGGTGGTCCATCCCAGGGTATCGCCCCCGCCCCGCACCGCGGCGTTATCTTAGCACCCGGCAGGACCAAAATAAATCCCCGAGCCAGAGTAGGAGTGGATCAGTGTACATGGTTACGGCACCGAACAGCGAGGGTCGAGCACTGGAAAGACGCGTGGCCACTGAAGCTCTCTGACTCCTCCGCATGCGTTTCCTCATTCTTTCAGGAGGGTGTACCCCCTCCTGGTGCCAGGATAACGCTTCCGGGTGCCGGGTGCGTTATCTTTTCACCGGAGAGGGGAGGGGGTCCTTAATCGCTTATCCGGGTTATGCGGATGCAACAATTACGTTGCTTCGTGGTGTTGAGGTCAGAAAATGGCGCTCTGGCGTGATCTCGGATTGTCAAGACGCAACATTCAAGTTAATCCGTGGTTTTGAAATCCAGAGAACAATGTTCTGGCATGCTTCAGGGTCTTCAAACGGTTGTTTTCCAAAGAGGCAGTTCCCTCCATGGAAATGAACCGCTGTAGGAGCCGCTAAACAGGGAGCTTGAAGGGAAGGTTTCATCCAACATCGTTGATGCCTCTCGGGCTTACACGGATTGTCCTCATCATCTTCCTCCTTTTTCCCTCCTCCTCCTCCTCATCGCCCTTCCTCTTCCTTGCCTCATCCGTCATTCCATTGTGGCCCCCTCTCGTTACTCCACATCTATTCCCTGCCCCCCTCTTCCCTGCGCCCCCCCCCTCGCCTCGCCGGCACCGCCCGACGAGGTTGACCGCGACAATCACAAACCGTGGCAATGACGGAGTGCGCTGCGTAGGACGCAGCTAACATGAAACAGCGATTGCAGAACGCGGCCGCCCTGCGACGGCGGCTCACGTCGCGCGCCTGGGCCGCGCCGCCAGGCAGGCCGAACTGGGCCGCGCGAGGGGGTCAGCGCCAGCTGGTGAGTCGCGGAGCGCGGGGGGACCGACAGTGGTCGGCGGCCGCCAGGGCGTTCGCGCCGGGGGCCCGCGTGGCCGACGGGTCGTCGCGGGCCAAACGATGCATAAGACGAGACAGTGCTGACTGCGCTCGTCGCCCCCGGCGCAAGAAACCGAACGAGCCGCATCTGCGTCCGCGGGCCAAATCGCGCGCGCACCGCGCGCGCGCGAGGCGCGCGGCGGCAACGCAGAGACCTGCGCGCCCAGCCCCGCGCGCCGAGATCCCCGGGAAAACGGCCGCCAGCCCGCACGCCTAGAGCGCGACACACCAGCGACGCCCGCCTGCCCCCCGCCCCGGGGAAAAACGTCGGGCGCGCTGGAGCGATCGGCGCATCTCTACGCGCGCGCGCTCGGTGCAGGTGCGTCGGGCTGAACTGCCCCCCGAACCTGCGCGCGAATGCGACTGCGAACCGAACGCGCCATTCCACGACGAAGCGCCAGGGGGGGGCATTTGCGCCGACGCGAGGGCGACAACGACTTCGACGACCGCGACGACGAAGACGACGCCGACAATCATAACGACAACGACAAAGACGACGACCGCTTCGAAATAGCCCGCCCGCCCGCGCGCCACGACCGCGCGGGCGCTGCGGCTTGCTTGCGGGCGCACCGCGCAACGCGCCGAGGTTGCCCGACCACCCCTAAAACAGAGCTAGGATCGGGATAAATCGCTCCACAGCGTTCCGGGGCGCTCTCAGAGCGTTCTGGAACGCTCTGGAGCGGCCGCGGCGCCCAATACATCCTCCAAACCCGCCGATTCTCAGAGATTTCGAGTTATCCCGATCCGATCTTCGTGTCGTTTTTAACCCCCTCTACAGGAGAGGGGCGGTGACGAGAACGATCTCGAGGTGCCGCGCCTGCGCGCGCGCGCCGGCCGCGCGGGCGCCCGCGCGCGTGGGAGCGCGGAACAGCGCGCCCCCGCGCGTGGCGAGGGCGCCCCATCCCGGCCCGCGCGGACGCGAACTGGGGGGGGGGGGGCGCCGACGACCGCGAGTTGCCCCCGACTTAGCCCGAATCCCCCTGGAGCCCCCGAACTCTCGCGCGCGAGGGGGGCGGGGCCGCGGACGGAAAAGCGACGGGCGCCGGAAGGAGACGGATGAGAAGAGGAATGCGACAGCGGCAATCAGAAGAGGGGCGGGGAACGGCACGGAGAAAAGGGCCACACCGCGGCAAGAGTTTGCAAGCGAGGCCACGACAGAGCAAGACGCAGACGGGCGCGGAACAGAAATGCCAGCAGAAGGCGAGACTCATCAAGGGGTGCGCGACGAGGAACGCACAAGAGACGCGAGAGCTTTCGGACGGGGGTCAGCGGCGGATGGGCGGGGAAAGCGGGAGAGAGGGCGCGCGAAAAAGGGGCGACGAAGAGGGGGGCGTCGGGGCGAGCGAAGAGGGCCCAGGAAAATGGGCGACGACGCAGACGAGGGAACGGCGCACAACTCGGGCAACGCAAGACCACAGAACACCAACAAGCGATGACAGGGAGGAGGAGGAAGACGAGGGGGGGCGACGGCGAGGGCCAGGCGCAGGTGGAGGAGGTAGACGGAGACGCAAGGCGCGGGGAAAGCATGAGCGAACCGGACACGCAATGAAGGAAACGGGGGAGTCGCGACGCCACCGTCGCCGCCCGCGTTCGGAGCCGCGCAGCCGCGGGCCTCCCCCCGAAGAGGCGGGCTGGTTTTCGCGCTCGGACCAAGGAGCCGCGGGGGAATCTTCCCAGAAACTCCTTGGAAGGCCTCGAACGGTTCCTGCAGAGGCCGCCGCCTCATCGGCTCTTGAAGCCCCTCGGAGGCTTGCAGAGCAGACCTGAAGTTCGTCTGCACGAGGCCCACTTCGTCGCAAGGAGCTCCGCCTCTGAGATGGTCTCGAAAGGCTCCTGAGATGCGCCCAGGGGGGCTCCTGGCGCGCATCTGAAAGCGCCGTTGGGGACGGCCCTGACCGCGCCCCGCGCCGCCGTGACCCGCCCCCGAATCCTGCCTGCGGCGGCCGCGCACCTGCTCCGAATCTCGCCCGCCGACGCCCCGAATGAGGCCCCGCGTCGCGCTGGGCAAGGGCCCTGAAGCTTGCGCGCCGACGCCCCGAATGGCGCCCCGCGCCGCGCAACAACGACAACACCAACAACAATAACAACAGCAACAACAACACATAATGTGCGCCACCGAACGTACGCCAGACACTCGGCGATGTGAAACTGCCATCTTTCGGCGCATACTTCGGCGGCCACTTGCGGCGGCGCGAGCCTGTTTGCGTTATCCGCAATAACGAGCCTCGAGGTGCAACAGGAAGAAATTATCTATAAGGAAAAGTAATGGAGGAGGAGGAGGAGGAGGAGGAGGAGGAGGAGGAGGAGGAGGAGCAATGAGCAATGAGCAATGCGCGGGGAGTCCAAATGAGCTACTCGATCTCATACCATAACACTGGCCGTGAACTCAGCGCAACCCGACTTCTTGGGGGAGCGGGTTAACCTTGAAAAAGACAGGGGGGACCCCCCTCTGGCAGGGCCAGCACTGCCCCTGAGACGACGGCGAACCCCAGACGCCGCGCAGGCGCACGAAGGGGGCCGTCTAGGGGACCGACGCACTAGATCTACCGCGAGAATATTGCTTACCCTTTCCTCCTCTGCGCGGAGCCCGTTTAGCCGCCACTACTAAGGGGATCGGGGGGAGATCGGGATTAGAATATGCATCGAAACCCGTGGCCTCAAAGGGGTCTGGGATGGCCCCTCGGGCCACTAATGCTGCTAGTCGTTCACTGCCTGCAAAGGCCCCTCTACTCAGCCCTCGCTCTCGCGCCCACGCGAACGACTTCTGTCGTTCCGTTTTCTTTTCGCCCTCAGCTCTCCCGATCCTGATCCTTGTCCTTGCCGCCGCCCTTCTCGAAGATCGCGAGGGGCCTCGCCGCCTCGCGCTCGAGGGGGCACCTCGGGGCGGGCCCCGCCAGCTGCGTCGCCCCGGCCTTGTCCGAGTTCAAGAACTGGATCAGCAGCGACCTCGCCTCCCTGCCTGGTTCGTCGTACGAAAAGGCGAAGGTGGGCCTGCCCTTCTTCTCCTCCGCACACGGCGCGGCCCCACCCTGGTTCTTCTTCGGCTTGAACTTCTTGCGACGGCAGCGCAGCGCGTGCTCGGCAACATCCGCCGGCAGCTTCTAGGCCAGGTGCTTCTGGAAGTACTCGTAGAAGGCCTTCTTCTCGCTCTCCCTGTAGGTCTCGCTGCCGACGAGGAAGGTGCCCATCTGATTCGCTAAACTCATGGCGAGCGCCCCCCAGACCTGCAAGTGCGGCGGCCCTCTTGCCCTGAAGTCGACGCTTTCGCCAGCCTGCTGGCGCCCCTCGAGGCCGTTTGAAACCTCGTCGTACTTGAGACCCGCGTCGATCATGATCTGCGTGAAAGAGTCCGCGGTCTCGGTAGTCTCCCACGTCTGGTAGACCGCCCCCGCGAGGTTGGCCAGCTCGCGCGCGTCGTCGAGGCACAGCTTTGTGATCACCTTCAACAGCGCAGCCTGCAGGTCGCCCTTCTCCTTCTTCTTGTTGCCCTCGGCGGCCTGCTTGGCTGGCGGCGCCGAGCCACGGGCCCCATCTGCCCCGCGTTCCACTGTCGCCGAAGGCCCCTGCATCCAGCTCGCCGCCACCACCTGGGACATTGCCGAGGGCGGCGCTCGGGGCGTCCGCGAGGCGGCGGCGCTTCCGAGGGGGAACTGGGCCAGGGAGATGGCTGCGTAGACGTCGGCATAGGGAGTCCAAGTCAGAGGCCTCGAACTCGCATAGGGGGCGCTGCAAGGTCGACGGAGGCGTCAGAGGTCGCTGCGCCCTACCCCCACCGAAACGACAATGCCCCCGTTGCACGGCTAGTACTAGGTGCCGAGCCGCGCAAGCCCTGTCCCAGAAGAACTCCCGACCGCATATACATGTATTGCATGGCGTGAGGACGCGGCACAGAGATCGATCATCATGTTGAGAACGCACATGTGCCATGAGCCCCTGTTTCGTAGCAAAGCGTTCACCCCATTCAGCGACAAGACAGACGAACTTGGGAGCATCGGGGTCCAAGAGTTCCTCAGGAAGGGCCTCAGGAACATGTTTCCGTGTACTCTAGGGGCGCGAACCGCGAACCGAACGCACGCGATCGAATAGCCGTGAAATCGACATTCTCGAACCCACACTGGACCTCAGGGCCCCGCAGGGGGCCAGGGCGGGCGGCGAGACATCCTAGAAGATCATCGTGATCTGGGAGGAACTCCCGAGCCCATCGGAGATCATCAACGACGCGTCTGGCCCGCGGAGGGGCCGTTGAGGCGAGCGCGCCGTCGACCATGGGGAGCATGCCTTTCGAAGGCCACGGAGCCCAAGAGAGCGGAGAGCAACTGGAGGTGGCAGGACGGGTGGCGGGACCAAACCTCGCACCAGTTCAAACGACGAATCCCGAAGTCGATGTGCGTCTCACAGAGGCGCCAGTGCCTGAGGACTCCTTTCGTCGTCAACGTGCGGGTCGCTCCAGACTCTGTCTGCCAACTGGCCCTTCCACGCATGGCCACGCGGGCGAAGTGCGCCACCGTGGCATCTAAACTGGCACTCTGATGCTTGGTGATCAAGAAGGCCCCCCAGCCACACAAGGCTGAATTCTGAACCAAAGACATAAAAATCAAGCGCGTGAACTTCCACGGCAGCCGCAAAGACCAGAAGCCGCCCATCGAATAAAAAGCGGCACGAGCTGCCTGGCGACGGCGGGCGACCTCCTGGCTGGACGCCTGGGACATCGCGATGTGGGGGCCCAAGATACCTGACTTCCTCCTTGATTTCCCCCGACAGGTGTGCCCGGCCAGGCCCGCGGAGCCACTTCTTGCAAGCCACCCCCCCCCCCCCTCGATCCAGACGGCCAACTCCTGTTTCTCCCGATTTTGTTCGCGCCCGTAGTCCTGGAGGAGGGGGTCGGGACAATCGTCTGACTACTTGAGCTTAGCCAGGAAACTCCCCATGGAGTCTCCATGTGCAATGAGACGAGGTCGTCAGCATACTTGCACAAGCTAAGGTCGACCTCCTGGCCGCCCCATTCTGCGCGGAGGGGCCTGAGGGGCGGATCGACCTCGCGCGCAGCGTCCGCCCACTTCAACACAGGGCGGCAGAACGTGGTGGAAAAAGCGGCCACCACGAACGGGTCCCCCATCATTCCTCCCACTCCTGTCTTTACTGCTAGGTCCCCTTCATCTCTAGGAAGTAGAACGACAGCATCACGATACCTATTCTTGCATAGCGCAACATGTTCAGACTGTACAATAGCGGATATGGCACGGCCCATGGCCTCCCAGCTAGAGCTCCCGAACGCCTTGCTCATGTCCTTCAGGCTGGCCCCAAAGCTCCACCCAGCCCGTCGAAGTCTCCAAGCCACCACCTGCGAGGCCGCGATAGCCCCTTCCCGACGACGACGACGCTAGAACCCATAATCTTCAGGAGGCAACTCGTTGGGCAACAACTCCGCGAATGCGGATGCCCCCACGACAGGAAGCGCGTGGACCACCCTCATGCCCATGGGCCCAAGCTGGGCCGACTTATACAAGGCACAGCCCCGACTTACATTCCAGTATAAGGGGGCCAGGTCGGTGATCCTGATTTTCATCATCCCGTCCAAGAGGGTCTCCAGAAACAGCGCGGGCTCCTCGGGGGCTCGTGGGGCTCCAAGATCAGGGCGCTGGCGTTCCATACCTCGATCGGGGTGAAGGAGCTGCCGCCAAAGTTCGAGCGGGGCCGATCCTTCTGGAACAACGCGGCGCTTCGGGGCCCGGCGAACGTATCTACGAAGGCGGCGGATATCATTGTTTCCTAGCTGCTAGGGGCGATCCTCATAGCGGGCCACGTCCATGTCGCCTCGAGCGGCGCGCCGGGCGCCTGAGTCGACCGGGTGGACCTGCAGCCCGCCGTCGCCGCCAGGGAGGGACCAGACGGCGAGCCACCCCTCGTGTGTGATGGGGGCACCGCCGAAGCGCCGCCCGCCCCGCCTTTTTGCCGAAAAGCGACAGCGGGCAGCCCGGCGGGCCCACCCCATGGCCTCGCAGAGGTTCCTCTGGGCCCATGCGTCGTATGAGGCCTGGACGTACGACTCCCGCACAGCACGTACATGTCTGCGTCGAAGGAGTGTGAGACGCTGGGAAAGATCGCGGAGGTCGTGCTCCAGCTGCTCCAGCTCGGCGTCGTCCACGGTCGCGCGCGAGGCGCGCATGTCGATCCTCTTCTGGAGCAGGTCTCTCCTCAGCTTCGCCCAGTGCGCGTAGTCGTCGGGGAGGTCTATCGGCTTCGTGAAGTACTCGGCGCCAACATCGACCATGCAGCGCTCCAGCAGCTCGAAAGTGTGGTCGGGGGCGTCCTGGTCGTGGGCCGCGGTGCGCTCTGCGACGTGGCCGTCCAACCACTGGGCGACACCGTTCACGAAGTCCACGCGCTGATCGCCGCACTTGACCGCCGCCATGAGGGCTGTCATGTCCCACTTGGCCGTGACTGGTTGGTCCTGACAGTCGCGCGGTCCCCGCGGGTGTGAAACTTCAAGATATACTGGTACGTGGTCTCGCGGAGGTCGGCCTCTCTGGGCCTGGAGCTGGGCGCCCACTCTGTGCAACGTGTGGCACTTGACTATGTGGGGCGCCCATCCCTGTGGGAGAAAGACAAAATCGATGAGACTGCTTGGACCCTCAGGCCCGCTGCCGAAGAAGGTCGCCTCGCACCTGCCCGTCGTGTTGGCCGCCAGGAGGTGATGCTGCATAAGTAGATCACCCACCGCCCCGCCAGCACCCAGTCGGCGTCGTTCGCGTGTACGTATTCTGCCGATGGCGTTTGTTTCGTAGTCTGTCCAGTTGCCGTCGACCTTGCGGCAGCCCAGTCCGTCATTGACATCAGCGAAGAACCGTGGGAGGCAGCGCGTCGGCAACTGTGATAGACGCGTGCGCCACCACTGAATCATCTTGGCGACCGTCTGCGTGTAGCGTGGGCCTGCCCCGCGACTGCGGGGCTGAGGAGGAAAGAAAAGCACGCCCACGCACACGTCCACGGCGCCCTGGCGGATCCTCGCCGCCAAGCAGCGTCCGCCCACATCCTGTGGGCTGGGATATACACGACGAACATGATGTTCACGAAAACCACGTCCGAGAAGGATGGAGACACCAGCACTAGCGTTGGTGTACAAGCCTGGTTGCGCTGCAGCTTCGAGGGCTAGTCGCCCACCGACCCGCCGCTGGAGAACGTGAGATGCTTCACGGCAGACGTTCTGGGTGCCAGCCAGGAGCGTGAAGTCCATAATTATTGCGTGCGCAGCTGGCGATCTCCGCGAGGCGACCACCCGTAGCCCACATTGGATTCCAGCCCAGCACCCGTAGTTTAGTCATGTCGGTGGTCACTAGGAGGAGGAGGAGGAGGAGGAGGAGGAGGAGGAGGAGGAGGAGGAGGAGGAGGAGGAAGAGGAGGAGGAGGAGGAGGAGGAGGAGGGTGAGGAGGAGGAGGAGGAGGAGGAGGAGGAGGGCAGGCTTCGGCCTTTCGGGGCCTCCCGGGACCTCTTTCGAGCGCCCAGGCCCCCGGACACGGGCAGGGGACGGGGAACAGGGGGAGGGGGCAGAGCAGGAAGAGGTGATCGGGGAGGGAGAGAAGGAGCATCAGCAAAAGCACGAGCAGGAAGAACAGGGAGGGGGAGCGAGGAAGAGGAGAAACGATCTGTAGACAACTTGGCTCAAGCCAATGCGGCTCTCCCCAAACGGGCCCAGGACGGTTCCGCCAAGCCTGTCCAGAGAACTCGGTGGACACGCCCTGCGTGAAATTCAACGCTACGCTGGCACGGTGGCGGCATTTGCCGCGGGCAGCCCGATGCGCCGACGCCCTGGAACACCCCAAGCTGGCCCCGGAGGGCCCTGACAGAGCCCCCAGAGCGGCCCGAGAGGGGCCAGAGGGCGCTCAAGAGCGCCCCATCCTGCTCCCCATCCCCCTCCCCCCCCCTGCCCCCCATCCTCCTGACTCCCCAGCCCCCCCTCCGGGAGCGGCGGCGGCGGCGGCGACGACCGGCGATTTTCGCCCCTGCCGTGCGGGCGAGCTCTTCCGCCTCCCCCTCTGAAGAGCGAGGTCCGAGGTTTGAAGAACGACGTTTTCGTGACTTCGTCCGCAATTGTTCGATCCCCCGGTCGCGGACAACAGCGGCGACGACAATCTGGGAAACCCTAGAGATTCTCTGGAAACCCTGGAAGAAGATTCCGCGAGACACGCGGGGAGAACAACGCGACGCGATTCGGGGGGGGGGGGGGGGCGATCACGAGCGCCATCGCCCAGACCAGAAACGGGCTCCATCTCGGGGGGGGGGGGGGGGGGGCAATCCCGGCGCGCGCGGGCGGCCCACGCGCGCCGGCCCCAACGGGCCCCGAGCCCGAGCCCTCGACTGCAGGACGCAAAACTC